TGAGCTCATATATCAGGGCACCAACACATGGAATAACTTAACATTATTTCAGTGCTTGCCATTTACAACAAGCAGTTGCTTTCCGCGTGTATTTAAAATTACAGGTTAAGTGTATTTATTGCATTTTAAAACAGCAAGAAACACATTCTCAGGAAGATTCACAGGTTAAAATTACTCTAAAGTTGAACCAATGGTACTAAAATATTGCAGAAGTTACTTATAATCAGAACATGGATGTCATTAAACTGAATCCAAGCCTCCGGTAAAGGGAATTAAGTGCAAGTGTTGGCTACTAAGGGAAAATAAATGAGGTGTATTTTTGAGGTACCACGGATAATTTTGTCCATTATTTTCATGTAATATATGAAAATTTTCATATAATCATGTAAAATGTCTCAAAAGCCCAATTTTATTTTTAAGCACTTTAAAACTTTAAACATATTTATAAGACTTTCCCAGTTTTAAAAATTAACCCATTCCAAGTACCAGTGTTTTTTAAGAGTACCTTTTAGATGATCTATAAAGACTCCACAAGTGCAGAGACACCTATAGGAACTTCCCTTTAAGTATCAAGGTTCTTTTCAGACCAGCAACTTGAACAGTCAAAGCTAGATGACAACACTCGAGGAAACCATGAAAAACAAGAGCTTAACATCGATCCAAAGCATTAACTGAGGACTCACAAAGCTAACTGCAGAGAACAGTTGAGAGGCTGAAGTGGTTGAAAGACAAATACTTCAGGTTATACCAATTTATTAATTAAAATAAAATACTGGGCTTATTTGACAGTTAAGACAAGCTGAACTCTCTCCCATTTTCTCCACCATTTCCAGACTACCTGGAAGAAATCTAGATCTTTGTAAGTCAGAGGATCATGGATCACAGCACTTACTCCGTACTAACCTCTCCAAATGAAAAGCCAGCTTTATAAACACACAAAGCTGAACAGCATCTAAAGGCAAACTTATCTATCAAGACAAAAATCTTAAGAGACAGAAGTTGTATCCCAAAAGTTTTTTCCTGTGTTCATCAGCTCTAACAGTGCACAGTGTTTATCTTTGCCACAAACTTAACAAATGTGTGCTTCATGACAGAAATGCTGATGCCACTTGCAGTGCAACTTGGCAACAGAAGTTTTGTCTCCAACATGTGCAACTAAAAGAATAATAAAGGAATATCAACCATTTAACAAATTCTTACCCATTACCTACTTTGAACAGCAAATCCTAACAGAACATAGACAGTATTATTGTCCATTAGTTTTCAGGTGCTTGTAGCCTAGAAATGAGTTTACAGCATAGCATATTGCAAAAAGTTATGACAAATTACAGCCATCTAAATCACCACTTTCATAAACCTGTTACTGGCTTTAAGATGACATTGTGGCAGCCCAACAGAAAGAGTGACACAGAGCCCACTGGAAACCAAGAACCTTCCCCTGGCAAAGGTCAGGTCCAGTTTGCACAGACAGGCATGGCAGGGTGACTGTGCAACTGCTCCCTAGCATCTGTCCTGCTGCAGCTTCCACCTCAAGCTATAGAGAGCAATATGATAATATAGAAGAACAAGCCTTTTCTCCTCATAATAAATCTGAGAGACTGCCAATGTGTGAGTTGCGTGAATAACTAAATAAAGTGAAGATTCTTGGACATTATCATAAGCAGCAAAATGAGAAGTTTAAGGCATTTGACTCTTGTTTCCCAAGGTTTCTGGTTTGTGTGTTTTAAAGCATGCCATATTCAGTTGGAAAGTTAGGAGCAGGCCCAAAATTGCCTCTAAAAATACTGCCTTTTTCCCTAATTAGTTTTTCAGAGGAAATAAAGTGGAAAAGGAAACAAGTCTTTTTATATCATCCAAATATTCATAGGGTAACACTTTAACAATTAAAACATTGGAAAACATTCTCCCTGGCAACATAAACACTACTGATTACCATGTGAAATTTGAAGAGCTGCTTATTAGCTAAATTCAGCTAATCAAATGTATACTTCATAAATAGAAAATCTTAGTGGCCAATATTTTATCAATCAGTTTTGGACTAGGTTTTAATGGCTACCATCCATGGATATTATGTAACTCAGGCACATTGAGTAGTTGTGAGCACTGAGGGATGAAGAGATATATTTTATTCCCTACATATTCAAAATAAATGTTTGAATCTGTGAGAAATCCAACATATTCCCAGGATGCTGATGAACAAGTTTTTAGCCCATTTAGAATACTGAAGCCAGGAGAGTTAGAAAAAATGAAAACAGCACAGTATAGCAGCAACAGCTTATGCAAAGAGCCACATTTTGAGAGGTCTGTCATTTGTAAAGGTTAAGCATGATAATTATATTTTGAAATAGAAAAGACAACTATCACAATTTCAATACTACCCTTAGATACAGTTACACAAAACTAGTCATATAGACAAATCGTATTTCAAGTTGTCTTGTATCACCTATGAAGCTGAACAAAATTAAAAGGCATTGGAGCTAAATTGTTAAGAAACCAGCCAGACTCATCAACTGGTTATGTTGAGCATGTACATCAAGGGAGGATAGCAGATCAGTCTTTAAATGATCTGTTATTCAAGTCTCTTAACTTGATCTTAGTTCAGCCAAATATTCAGTATTTGAATCACTGCTGCAACAGAAAACAGACACCTCCCAGATATAAATGGGGTTTCAAAATCTGATAGATCCAAATCAGTTAACACTCCATGCAGATAATTACAAAACCAGTCTCATTTTCATCACTTTTTCACACATAATTTCCTTATTAAAAATATGCAAAGCAAGTCTGGCTGTTTTTACAGTACTTAGACTCCTCTATAATGGAAATCTGAACACTTTAGAGAAAATGTCCATACACTTTTCATGTCCTCGATCCATTTATGTCCCACAGATATTCTTGTTGCACTTGTGTTTTCTTGAGCTATACCAAGACATCAATACCAGCTCAAAGTCAGAAACCTCTCTAAGAGGTAAGCATAGAAGTATACCCGTACCAACATCTTGCCTTGTGTTCATATTGTTTTACAGTTCTCCAAGGCTTTTTATAAAGTCCAGAAGATGCAGACATTTATATAAACAGGTTAAAAATCAGGCCACATAATTAGTTTTTCCTAGGTTCTTCACTTAAGTACATCTCACTAAATCACAAGTACAATCAGCAATTTTTATTACCAAAGCAGTTCATTAAAGAATTTAAGATCAGGAAATAGAATAACAGAATTTATGATGTATTTATTACAGGGAAAAAAACCCAAACCAGTGAAATACTAAGGATTCTAAGCAGTTTTAAAGTAAAATCACACAATTCTTGGTAATTGAGGTTGCTATCGCTTATCAGCTTGGTTGGTCCACTGCTTTCACTATATGACTTTCTACTAACCTGATTTAATGAAAATCTATGAAAGACTATAATCACCTGAGCTTTCAAACAAATAACATGTTTCCCAGCACGTAGGCCACAGAACAAGCCTCTCTGTTTGTCAAAGCACAAAAAAGACACAGAGCAGTGCCAGAAAGATTCAGTTTCAATATTCTGCAGACATTCAGTTCTTTCCAAAATATGTAGTTGCTGTAACAAAAACAACAAAAAAACCACAAACCAAACCAAATAACAGAACAACAACAACCAAAAGTAGTGGTGATAATGTATATGCCAAGAATTTAGATAATGGATAAGTAACTGAGGTAACAGCAGTGGGAAATTTACTACAGCAGCATCTAGGAAGACTTTATTTGACATAATTCTTTACTGGAACTTCTCATTAGATCATTCTTGTATCTATATATAGTTGGAGAAACAATGGCTCTTGCTGCTAAGGAGCAGTTGCTGGAAGGAGGCTGCTGGTGAGCCCTCAAAATCCTCTGTGGGGCAATGAATGTATGAGGAAATATGATAAACACTCCCAGGATGTTAATAAGGAATTAGAGAGATGCACTGACTGTACATCCAGACCCTGAAAGCTTCTTTATTTGAGCTTAGTAAGGATAGATGATGGTTAACTCAGCAGGGTTTTTCTAATCTGTTTTATTTCTTTTTAGAACTTAATTGTGGGAATTCTGCCTGGATAGCTCTTAAGTGCAACAAGATTTTAGCCAGTTAATCAGAAGCGCTACATATACTGCTGCTCTCACTGGCTCCAAAGCATCTGATGCAAGCACTTCAGTAAACGGAGATGGCACTATCCCAAGATATCCCAGACATATCCCAAATGATCATCTATAATGGCCTACTTCTAGCCATCGTTCCCTGAAGTGAGGGTATGGGTCAGTCCTCAAATATATGCCCAACAGAACTACAGAAACCACTAAGAGCTTGTGGATTTCAACTATACTCAATCAAATATCTTTAAAAAACCCCACCCCAAACACAAATAAAACCACCCCCAAAACAACAAAAAACCCACATACAAATCCAACCTAAAACCCCCATACACCCAAAAGACTGCTTGCCCCCATAACTAACAGCAATATTTTCAAAGGTTCAAATAAAAATTTAAAAACTTAAGTCTGGAGAGACTGCACATTGTTCATGAAACAAACCGTAGACACATTAGCAGTCCAGGCTCTTCGGACACTTATTTAGCACGTGTTCCACAATGCACCAAAAGGCATCTCTGCATTTGTCCCTTGCAAATGTAAACCAAACTAAATGTGTATCTGTCCAAAGCATACTTGGAGGCAAAGACCACAAAAGTCTCTGATAGTCTTACTCCATAGAAAGTAACAGTAAATAACCTCAGTAAGTACTGCACCAAGTGAAGAAACCAGCAGTACTCTATCTACAGGTTTAGGTACTTGGAGGCTCATGGAATGTAACACAAAACTCTCAACCAAGTCCAGTCTGGGCTTGTCTTTGCTGCCATACACGTGCTGCTGCTATGGAAGTCCACTTCCTCTAAGCAAGTCAGTGGTTTTGCCATTAGAATAACAGACCCTGCTGGCTCAGAGCATTTTGCAGGAGCCAGTTAGTTTCAATGCCAAAGTAAATCCAGCAACACGTACCTATTTGTACTTGCTCTGGCTGGCTCAATGATACAAATGCTGATGTATCATCAATCCATGAAACCTGAATGTTACCTAGAAAAAGCAAAGGAAATTATTATGACTATTTTTATTTTAGACTCAGTCATAGATTTTTATCTGATATGCCATGAAATAAAAAAGCCATCTAAGAGTAACTGCACCTGAGGTGTCCACAGAAAAGGTGTGTCTTTCATACCCAGTTACACAAGGGCCTAGAACTGTTCAGGATATCACAGCTGCATGTGCATCCTGTACAGCCTCAGACCCTCACATCCTCCCTTCATGACTTCTATATGAGTCTACTAAATAAATTGATTTTCTGAAATTCAGCCCTTTACTCAAATAAATAACAGCTCTTCGAGTGATGATAAATTCCAGTCGAGAGGGGTAGGTAAAAGATGGATCACATTAATGGAGAACTCCACAATTGGGACACTAAATCTTCAAAGTCTGGTTTGTTTGAATCCCACCATACATAATTTTCTGGATGTGAAATAAAAACTTAATTTGTGTCAACATGAGGACAAATGCACAAAATCATGGACCTCATTTGGAAGCTGTTACAATGGAACAGTGACTGGAAAAAAATCCCTCTATTCATCAAGCAGTTAGTGCATTTTCTATGTGAATGGCTTAAAATGTCACATTAATACTAGAAGAGCTCATAATCAAGCAAAAGCAGAGGAAAGGATCCCCATTCCAGACACAAGGTCTTATTATAGTCTGAAATCCATTTACATCTCCTGTCCTTACCTAAGCACTTTACTGTTAGTACAATTCAAATATTGAAAATTGGTGCCATTTTTTTCACGTAGACTAGAAAATCAAGTTATTTATAATGTTACACCACCATTTAACCTTCAGACATTACAAGGTTAGAAACAATGATGCAAAAGGGCTTAAAATACATTTATTCTCAGTTGTTTAATCTATTGAAATCTAATTTAGTCTACAGGTTACAAGGTTATAGAAGTCTCTTCTGAAATCCAGCCAGATTATAAACAGATTTTCTAATTATAAAAAAATAAAAGCCTAGATAGATTTCATTCACATGCTATACACTTGAGTAGCCAGCTATTTAGGAGTTTAAGTTATAATCATTTTGATCATTGCCAAAACCATAATTAATTCAGTATGGTTTCTGACATCTCCCTGTACTGAAAGGCTAAGGTTGCTATTAGGATGAGCCTACGCCATGAATTAGAATTTCTTTAAACATTTTTTAGGGCACATAAATTAAATTTCTAATAATTCTGCCTTTGACAAACATATAACTTTTCTGCCTATGGGTAAGGCTCTTTGGTGTAGGGAGAACATCCCTTTGGCAGGTCACTAACATTTCACAACACAAGAAAAGCCTGAGCTGACTCATGACTGCAGCTCAGAACTGTAGTGCATTTGGTAGGACCCCAACACTGAGTTTCCTTTAAAGGACAGAAATTACTGTACAAATTCATATCGCTCTACATGCACTGACAAGTCTTTGCTCTATAATTATTCATGTATCGAGTTCTCCATTTTTGTATGACTAACTACAAAATTTTCTAAACAATCATTTAAGATATCTGAGACCATATTCTGTTATAACTCTGGAACACAGAAATGCTGTCCAGATTGTGTCCTCTTCCTATATATACAGATAATTAATTTCAATCTACCTGACCAGACTGATACATCAGAAAGAAAAATTCTCCTGAATATCTTGCAATTGTGTCGTCAGTATAAAGTAAGAAAGAGGACCAGTGCTAGACAAAAAAAAAAAAATCTCCTGAAGGAATTCAGCTGCTATTCAAATGGACTTCAGTGTCCGTATTTCCACTTAGCACCAAATAAAAATCCAACCTATTGGTGGCACATCATTTCAGTATCAGATCCTTATTTATTGTTGTAGAAAGGCTACTGCACTCTATGTGACTTCTGACTTTGTATTTTTAGCTAATAAACGGTTTCAATACCGGCCAATATATGTTGCTTTTATCCTTGGACCTACACACTTTAAATACAGAATTTAAATAAAGTCAAACATTAAATGGCAGACACTGAGTTCCAATCTGAAGCGAACTGCAACAAATGCTCTTATGCAACTCTCCATGCTTAAAAGATGCTCTCTTCAGACTATGCCACATTTCATCATCGTTAAGAAGTAAGAATTTAGGAGAGATAAGATTAATGAATTAAATCATGCAGTAATACTGCTGAGCACTCAGTAAATATTGTGCATTTCAAAAGTACGGTGAAATGCAAATATAGATCTGGAAAGCAAATGCAGCTGCAGTGCAATATTTAGCAATCACCAGAGCCCCGTGCCAGATCACTGCAAGGCCAGTGCAGATAAGCCATGGACTGCAATGTAATGGAACACCAGTTCTAGAGAAATAAACCAGGAAATTTCTCTCTGCATTTCTAGAATACATCAAGTCTTCAATACTTTGACGAATGCCAAGGGTGGACTACGACATGAAGGTGCAAGTAACATGTATTTCTTCTGTAAATAAATTTGAAAATTCCCCATATATCAGCTCAAATATACAAAGAAGATTAAATCCACAGAATAAAATTATATTGATGGATTACATCATTGAAACATTTTTCTTTTTATATTCTGCTCTTATACATTTCCTACATGACATTTACTGGTAATTAAGCAGTAGTTTTTACAACATTTTGATAGTAAGTTGAGTTTTAATCAAAAGCCCAAAGATATTAATTTAAGTAGAACTTAAGGCTGTACACTAAATTTAATATACTGATTTGCTGTATTCTAGCAAATCCTATTTTAACTTCATATTTCACATCAGCATGACCAAATAAACAACACAAATTTAAGAATCTGAAGTGTTCTAAGAGACTGCATAGTGCTGCAAGTATTTGTACAGTGGAACTACATTCACCCCTAAGACTATAAAAACATCTTGCATGAACAGGTGTCCACTTGGTATGCAGGCAGTCCTGAAGGATCTCAGAATCATGAACATCCCCTCTAGACTAGCAAATGTGAACCAGTTCCAAGTGTGACACTGCAGCCCTTTCAGCTGTTTCACCATATTTTGTTAGAAGCTTCATGGAAGATTATAATTCTGCTTCAATTAATTCTAAAATAATTTTTCTGTAAAATTCAACTAATACTGTTTGATTTCAATCCACTTTAACTGATGTAATAAATTTGGCTAATTCACGTCTGTTACTGCCTTTTTTTTTTTAGCTTTTGGCAAATCACTCAACCTCCCGCTGCACCACTCTGCCCCTATCCACCTACAACTGGAAAAGCATGGGTACTTCAGTATACCAGAATTTTGGAAGGAATAATCTGCAGTTTGTTTCGAGATACCATGGCAAAAACACTTTAAAAAATATACAGATTAATTCTCGACCCTGGAGTTTGTAAATCGAAATATGAAAACACTCAGCTCTAAAATCTGGAGGAGAGCGGGAACTGGCAATTCCCAAAGCGAGCATTTATCCGAGTGTGAGCCCGCCCCCTGGCGGCGATGCGCGCCCCCAGACGCTGGGAGCCCAGCCCAGGCGATGCTCCCCACCCCGAACAGCAGCTCCGGGAGAATCCTGCCATTCCTACATCCTCGCCTTCTACATTTTGGGGCTATCACATCCTATCCACTACACTGAGCCCTGCTGCGGTGAAGATCGAATGCTCACAAGGAACTGAGGGAGTTTTGATACAGCTCCAGAGTTCCAAGCCACACGAGAGTAGGAACAGGAGGCCACCATCAATTAGTTTAGCTATGCAAGTACCTACATTTTACACTTCTACTTAGCAGAGGAACTACTGCTCCTCAGTTATTAACTAAGTTATTAACTATCCTTTTTGCTGTTTCTTCTCACTTGGATGGTGCTCACAATCTGGAAATCAAATTGGTTATTTTCAAGCCTGCTTCCTTGCCTAGACTCACATATGCTGGAGTTTGGCTTTACACAAGACTGCAGGATGAACCTTGTCCCTAAAGCCTCAATCTGACTGACATTCTCTTTATCCACCTATATAAACTCTTACCTCCTTTCAGGAGAGGATGGAAATAAAAGGATAAAAGATCCTCAATATTCAACAAGCACCAAATAAAAAGATTTCTGAAGAGCAGTTAATAAGAACGGCAATTTTCACATCATTACATCATTACCAAGTCCACAGGACACCATTCAAAAATTACAAAAAGAGATTCACTGTTACCTACAGTAGGAATAAGTCTGCACAGACAGACTAAAAATAACAAAATAAACCAGAAATTTAACTTGTTAATAACAACAACATAAAAGGAAGACAGATTATATCGCTCACCAAAGGCACTGAAAAGCTGGTATAGGTCACTAGTCTTCCACTCTTTGGGAAAAGTAACATGAAGAACATGATCTCGTTTGGGCTGCACTACAAAACAAAAATGTTTTTGTTAAAATAAGAGTCGCTACTATAATCTTTAAAATATCCTAAAACAGTCATATAATGTGGTCATGTAGCTTTTTCCTTTCCTTTTTCAAAAAGAAAAGAGGACAAGATTTATGAAACTGCATTAGGTACAGTTAGAATGTGCCTACACTTAGGCATGAAAGACACACTAAATCCTACTAGCTATCTCATCTATTTAAGGAATTGAAACAGCATTTCCTACATGAAAATGCCCACAAATGTAGTTCTTCCCATCCCTTGCACCAAACCAAGTGCAAGGGCAGAAAAAAGAAAGAAAAAAAAAAAAGCTTTTTCATGCTCCACCTTCAAAAAATTCTTAGCAATGGTTCAATTTTTGCCATTTTCCTGTGAAACAATGTTCAACTCAGTATTAGATACAGTATAAATAAAGTATTAGATACAAGCTACAATATACACACTGACATTTTATTATTACTACAAATTACACCAAGAAAAAAGACAACTCATCAAGGCCAATATCTAAAGAAGTGAAGAAGTCTTTAGTGCATATTGAAAGAAATTTTTAGGTCTGTGAAATTGAGAGAGAGAATCCAAATCAAACTGCTAGAAGATGTAAAAATACAGCATAAATTATCACTATATATCTTACTTTCACATATTTCTCCTACCTGAAGATCCTTTCACTAGAGATGTGAGTTTTTATAACCTATGAATTCCTATTGTATTTTAAAAAGAAACAAGTTGAACACTGTATTTTCGGGGCCAAAGACACTGAAATACTTTGTATTTTCCTGCTAAACTATTTGCAGTTCATTAATTAAGCCTTTCCACAGGTATCTACAGAGATCTATTTTGTTATGTATGGCACATTGCTAAATCTTATGTGTTGTTTTACGTTTGATGACGGAGGCTGAACCACTAAAGTCAAGTGCTCCACTTTGCAATGTAGTGCTCTAGTTTGTTCAGAATAACTCAAGGGTTAACTACACACAGCTTGATGTGATCAGATTTTAATTTGACCACCTGGTAACACTATCAGGAAAATCTTCTCTTTTGGTATAGAGACTTAGGGACTGTTTTTCATTTTAGGGAATGATTAGTGACTTACCTGCCTGAATTATTTTTTAATACAAACTTTTCTACTTTCTGATCTCCTTAGCTTTCAGCTTTAAAACTGGAGAGCTCTCCAAGGTGTATCTCATTTGTAGAACAGGTGTCCAAAATCAGACTATCAGCCACTTGTTACTGCTATGTGTTTTAATCTGTTTCACCTAACAAGTGGGTTAGCCTGAGTTGACGAGAAACCCCTAGTAATAAAGTACAGGTGTACATGAGCACTGGGAGCTCAGTCAGGCTGGACAGAGACACAAGGAGATAAGGAAAGCAATCCCTTCATGAGCACAGGTGAAATCCTGTTGCCTAAATTTGCTACTTAAAGAAAAAGGATAAAACATTTTTTAAGGACTAAAATTCTTTTTTTTTGCCTCATACAAGTCAAACACCAAAACCTCACAAGCAACAGTAGATCAATTCATTGTTGTACAATTTACTGAACAGAGAGCAACTCAAAGTTTAATTATTTGTAATCCAGCAGTAGAAAATCATAGCATGAACAAAACCAGTTTCAGATATTACAGCCTTTATATATTGATTATAGAAAAGAAACTATTCCTAACCTTCTTGTACCTGCTTATTCTTAAATTCAGTGAATCTGCTGTTAAAATCTCTAACTTCTCCCTACTTGGGTGAAAAGTATTTGATTCTTTTTCTGCTTTGCAGTCATTTTGTGAGGCAACTTCATTCTTTTAAATGAGTTTTTAACACACAATAACAAAAGATGATGAAAGTCACATTCACATATTCTCTTTAACTTATTCTATTTAACTTAGCACATGTTACTGAAAACCATTATTTCAGGAAAAATTGCACGAACTTGCTATTTCACTACCTGACAAACAGAAACATACAACAGTCAGCTATGCCTCATCTCTTTTTTAAAAATACAGACTCCAAGTGCACCTCCCACAGAAACCTGGCTGTACCTTTTAGGTGGCTTTGCTTCTCTGCGAAACGGCTCCCCACAGACAACCACTAGACAGCTTCCTCAACCTACAGTGGTATTTACATCTCAGAACAGCACCAAAAGTGGCCAGAATAGCCAGCCCAACATGCCACCCCTGCAATGCTTTCTGTTTTGAGGCTTAGAAAGCCTCTTGGCTCAGGTTCTCCTCGAACATCTGCATCAGTCTGTTCTACAGGAGTGGCTTTCAGATAAAAGAGACAGACTTTCAGAGGCAGACTCTTCTTTGGCAACCCTTCCTGGCAAAGTATCAAAACAATCCTGTAAATTGGCCAGCAAGTGGAAGTAGCATCTTTACAAATTAGTAGCTTTGGCACTCTCTCAATGGCCCAAAGTATTTACCCATTCTTCCACTCAGTATCAAACAGTTGGGGAGGGAAGATGCAACGTAATTAGATTACCATTCCAGCAGAGCCAGAGCTCAGTGATCTGACCACCTAACTGAATTTAAAATTAAATATATGCCCTTACAGAACGTATTTTCCTCTCCAACAGTCAGTTCCACCTCTCTAGAACTGCATTCTGTTACTATTAAACTGACATCTAAGAAAGCCACACTCCAGTCTGAGGTTTCCGATGCAAGGAGTGGAAAATGTGTCCACATAAATAGTGCTTCCGAATGTGTAATTTTCAAGACATTGTGTATCTGACTCTTCAATATAGAATTAAACTTTTATCTAATCAAGGACCAGACTGACCTCCAGGGCTTCACATTTTCCTAAGTCAAGGCATCAGTGGGAACCCCCATCCAAAGTTCTCCCCCTCATAATGAAATCCCGGAACAGTAAGGACATTGACATTAGTAGAATCTTTTTTCATTTAAATATATTATCACCTAATTACAGCTCCAGGTCTGTAAACTGAAATAACCTAAAAGGTAAAAATGTTTTAAGTAATATGTTTCCATTACCATAACCCCATGTGGCAAAAGAATCCTGATGTTTAGGCTGAAGTTAATTGCATGTCAATTGACAAAGTGGCCACGGGATTTTAAGAACCACGTGCTTTTCACTAGTTTGCACTCTGTGTTTACTGCTGGGGTGAGAGGACAGTGTTAAGATCCCACTTTTTATGTGATATAGTACATAAGAATAGTAACCCAAAATAAAAATAAAGCTGTTAATTTCAAACTCATTTAGTAACATTAACTTAATTTGTTCTCATCAGCCCCCTTTATAATGCAGATTCTCTGGTCAAAGTTGAACAATTTCTGGGTTTACTATTTTGTTAAAGGAAAACAAGGGAGCAGATACTTTTAAATCATTTCATAAGTAGCTAATAACCTAAACACAGCTGATAGATATGTTGATATCCTTGCTTTAGATATACATGACTAATCTTTACACTTCCTCCTCCAGGATGTTTGTCAGAATGGTGTTAAGATTACAATGAAAGAAGCTACTTACAGTCTGGTCCTTCCAAATTGAGATATGGTATGTCCATTACTCTCATAAGAAATAACCTAGAAGCAAAATGGAAAAATTAGCAGATTTCTGCCTGAAGATCTTTTTCTTTTTATAGTTTCTTTGACACATTCGTTCTGAAGAAGCAGAATTAACAATCCTAAACTTATCTTAAGGTATGTTTGAACAAACAGACCCTCTAAACCCAATCCAACAACCAGATTCAAACATTACTTGGCATCATGCCAGGAATTTTACTTGTTCAAGAAAGCAAGAGCAAAAAAGGCCCAAAGTAACAACTTTTTTTGGTTTTGCTACAACTAGAAGACAGAAAAAAGCCCTAAACACTGGGGTAAAATGTACTGTATGGCAGGTTTACATGTGAGCCACAGGGTGTGAGAACTGGCACAGACTGTGCCACACACTGTCCCACCTAATTTATCTTCTGAGTCCCAGGAAAGGTACAGTCTAACATCCACTGCATCCCCCTGAGCACTGCAGCACCTAAAAGGAACTTTATCAATAAAAATTAGAAACATCTGCACCAATTAGCTTCAGAAACTTCACCCATTCCAGCACAGCACTGAGTAACGAAGACATTCTACAAGGCAGCCAGAGTTCCTTTTTTATGTTTAGCCTTAGGTGCCACACTTCTGAGGACCTGGCTTCAACACAGCTGTCTGTCTAAACTGGACAGGGTTGGCTCCACCCAGAAAACAAGGAGGCACAGGAATACCACCACAAAGGTATCTTTTATGGAATTAAAGGAAGTGGTATAGAAAGAGGCAGCATGGGACACATCCTCCAAGGAGCAATAGAAGGTACGTGACTACATTCCAACTCTGGCGGAAGACATTAGGTAGGATCATAGCACCTTAACAGGGCACCCAGCTGTGCAGAAAAGAACTGGGATCTGTGCTCTCCCAGTAAGCTGCTCCCAGACCACCAAAAGATGCTCAATTTGATTTATTAGCTATGATTTGTGCTCACAGCTTCATCTGAAATGTCGGTGTCACTGTTAGTAAGAGATACAGCCCTCTTCAGACGCCAGTGCAGGGGATAAGCACAGCCTAAATAGGCTAAATAGAAATTTTCTACTGGTCAGTAAAAGCAGTTTAGTCTTTGCTGGAAAGAGGATGTCCATCATCCAAGCAGGACAGCAAAAGTGGGAGGTTTTATTAAAAAAAAAAAAGCAGGTTTGTTTTAAGCTGAGTTATCTGAACAAACTTTTCCCAAGTTCTTGGAACCTACTGTTTTTAAAGCACTCAAATAGTAAGTTTTGTAGGTTTTCATAAAAATAAAGATGAAGTCTACTAAAAACACAACAAAAACTTCTGGGGAGAAACACTAATTAAGTTTCCTTCCCCCAGGTTTTATCATATTGAGGAACACAATACACTGGCCAATTACAACAACAGACTTATGTCAAAAAAAAAAAAAAATTAAAAAAAAAATATATATATATATATATACCTGAAATTAATTAGGTTCAGTTTATTTATTCTCTGAAACAAATCCTACGTTTATTTGTTTGGCCAAACAATTATGTCACTAAACAGCACATACACACAGAAACACACACACTCTCTGTAGCCTAAATATTGATTTTAGTATTAAGTGCACTTCAGGTGTGTTACAGAAGTAACTGCATCTTGTAGCACTAACTTACACCACATGGATCATGAACACCAAATTACACTATAATCCATAATTAAGTATCCATAACTATGGTTCTGAGATTCTTCATCTATCTGCAGAACATTTAACTTAGTAACACTCTTCTGTATGACAGCAAGAACTCTATATTAAATTAGCTCAATTCATGAAGTTGTGAGTTAATGTCGTAAAAATCTGTGTCATAGCTACATTTCTTTAAAAGCTAAGCAGACCAAGCTAAAAAAATATTATTTCCTACACTGTTTAAGGACTACAGCCAGATTACATAGTCAGAGGACAGAGATCCATTTCTCAATAAGAACTATAAGGTATTCTGAGGAAGTTTCTTGGAAGACAATTGTTTCTGTGGCAAGTCAAATGAAATGAGGAGAAGAAGGCTATCATTGTGCCAGTCACAACAGTGCATAAACAGTCTCAAGGAGTCAACATTGTTCCTCTGCACTGAGCTAGGATTAAAGTTTTCATATCTGTGTGGTGAACTGTGCATAGAAACTGATCCAGCTGAAAAAAGAGAAGGCTTTTTTTTAAACTCAGCTCAGTTTACTGGTCCAGGTCAATGACTACTTCAGCCACATGTTGCTGCAAGCACAAGAACAGGAACTGTTTACTCCTACACTGTGAGAGGGAAGTTATTGGTCAAACTGCACAAAAGCACACCAATCTCCTTTTGCAGTAATTTTCCAAAGGAAAAGTAAATTATATAGAAAAATTGAAGGATTTCCAGTACATGCCAGAGAACATAGCTCCCTATGAGAAACTTTCTACTAATATAGCACAAACCCAAGTGATTTGCATGGATTTTGGTTACTGATATCCATTGTATAAAAAAACATTTCTAAGCTAATTTCTATTTCTACAGACCATGATGCTATTCAGCTCAATAAAACATGGTGTTCTCATTTCTCTACACCTCTTCTACCCCTTACATCAGAAGAATAAATAGCATTCAAACAACCCAAGGAGATACAAAAGAACATTGTCATTACAAGTTTGTGAGGGGCTTGTGGGTGGGGGCGGGAAGATACAGAAGAGCAGTTGCCCTAAACCAGTCACAACATTTCAAACCAACTCCAAAGTATATGAGACAGTAACAGTATCTAAATTATACACACAAGAGTACACTCACAAATGTTCATTGGGGATTACTCACAGAAGACAAACAGGATTTTTCGAAGATTTTATATATACAATAAAGCATAGCGATTACAGAAATGCATCTCTGGAGTTCCTGGCTTATTGAATTGTTTATCATATAACTTACTGTATTATGCCTAAAAGAGCCAAACAACCCTAAGGCAAAGTCTGTTTTTAATCAGTTCCACTCTCACAAAAGCCCTAAAACTAAAGATTTTACCTGTGTTCATCATTAACCTACATTAACATTAGCCTATATCCTGGCCATCACTCTTCAACAGCCAGCCAGGAAGCTGACATAATGAAAGACATCAAAATTACTTTTGAAAAAAGTATTGCCTTAATTTGAAAGCTAAGTTCAAAAAACATCAAGGCTTCATGTTTAAATTTATATTTACTAATTTAACTCACATTAGTGTCAAGCCCATTTAAACAAGAAACATTTCCAAAATCCTAGCAATGATCTGAAAGTTTAATCACTAAACTGTATTTAAGTATTAACATATAATATATAGAGATCTTGAAATTAAGAGGTTATAAGCAACCCAAAGAATCATGTCTGTTTTAAAGAACATTTTCAAAACTATCTGGATAATAGTTCAAACTGAGAACACTGCTTCTGAATAGCTGCCTTATACTGAACTCCTCTGCTCAGCTTCTTTCAGGAAAAACTTGTGACACAAGGTATAACTTTCATTTGTTTAGCTTACTGTTTGCATGTTGTAGTTTGTGTTTTGCTTGAAGAACATGACTACAGCACAAAGGAAAAGGTTTCCTTGTTCTGACTGCTGCCCACAGGATCAGGTAGAACTTCTGGAGGAAGGAGGAACATAGTTTTTTTTCTCCCCAGCAGGAAGAAAGGATGCTCAGCTAGGGAAATATTCTAGACCACAAACTAGAGACAAGTAGGTGTAGCAGGAAGCTGGCTGGCAGCCCAGAGCATACCTGCCAAAAAGCCCCAGAAGCAACACACTCACTAAGGGACCTTTAGGGAACTCTGAACTGCAGAGCCCAGATACTACTACAGGTGCTAAAAACACCACCTGCTGCAGACAGAGACTTGCAAGGACTGAATGAATAAAGCAAAAGACTTGTTCATTTAAATACCTCAGTTTGACTTCTGACATGTAGTTAAATCTTCTTTATTAAAAAAAAAAAATAAGAGTTGTCTTATTCTGGTTTGTTAGTTTGCATTACAGGAGAAAGAAAACTACCTTGAAAAATACAAGCCTTGGCCTGCTCACTGTAAAGAAAAGGTGAGATAGTCTCATCTGCAGGCTCTTAGGTGATGTGGCAGATGTTAGAATATGGCAAAGCTTCTGAAACCATTTGAAAAACATGGCAAGGCTTCCAAGTTTCCATGATTTAAAATACCTAGCTTTTCTGAAACAAGAAGCTACAAGTTCTGAATAATGACAGAATGGATAAACATTATTTTCTTGCAAACACTAATTTTCAGTTCTTGCTTAAAACAGAAAAAAAAGGCAGCTGTTCTCCCTACAGTTTTTTAACTCTTCCTTTCATTACAGTCAGGCAGTGTTAACTCTGAAGCCAGAACAGGCACAGCAGGCTTCCTCTCACTCACTCACAATTTTGAAATGTCGCTCCTAGAGGAATTTCACATTTCAAGTACACAATTAATTTGAAAAGCTTAAATTTAATGTACTATTGTGACAGCTCTAGAAGCTGCTGTTTGTACTTGTTGCAAATATGTATTTCTAGAAAGAATTTTGGTTAATGATTGAAAAATTAACCTGCTCAATTGGCACCTACTACTTGGCATGTGTGTGTTGGTGTTCCTGAAAACGACCTAGTGACACATCCCATCTTAAAATGAAATTGTGCTGATAAATTTTATCATCATTTTCACATTCAAATCAAGCAGTCACTGTTTCATCTAGGGAATATTTGTAACATCTGCTAAAATATATGGAGTTACTGCCTCACGTCTCAGTGTCAAGAGAATCACATAACTGCTGTCACTATAATGATATGATTTTCAGAACAATGAAAGGTGAAAGCCAATGATCACAATGATTTCATCCTTTGTGTGGGCCATCTGAAGCTAAAATAATTTATTTTGCCAACTCTTGTATTATGGGTTTGAAAGGACGGCATTTCTCCTGAATTTAAACAGACAGAGCAAGCACTAGAATCTTTTTAATTTCAACTCCTTTTCCTTTATGTGACAGATGGCAGCATCTTTAGAAGTTTCCTAAGGTAAAATCTACGGATTAACTATGTAAAGGATTGACTCTGTGCATAAAGGTTTCTAGATTCCCCAAGTCTTACTTCAAGTTGTTCAAGGAGTTTGCGTGAAGATCCAATTCAAAAGAAAAATACTGCTCATAGCATCATCCCATAAATCATACATGTATATTTCTTATGCCATCTTAAAAATGGGTTACCCAACAATGTTAATACCCATGCTTTGTGTCATTTGGACTGACATTACCGTGGGTACATTTTAGTTTTTCCAAATTGTTGAGCACATTCAGTTTTCACTATCACCAGTTACTGAGGGTCCTACAACAAAAAGAACACCTGACCAGGTTTTCTTCAGTTACACTATTCCTAAAGTTTACTCCAGAAATAATTATCTAAATTGTAAATATATCCTCAACAGTGGCATGGGCAAGGCCATTAAAGCAGTCCAGGTTCTCTTCTAAGTGTCCTTTCACAGGTCAGCAGAAAGTAAACCATCCTCCTCAAAAGAAAAGGTATTTACTTCATAGCCTCTCCAGCATTACCAGCATGAATCAGAAACCCAAAAAAAACTTAGGTTAAAGAAAAATGCAGTTAACTATTGCTCCCAAGGCTAGAAGTAGATCGGCCAAAGGTGGTGTTGTACTTCCATGTTTTAGCATGTTTTTTATACAACTACTTACTTGTTAAAAAAAGGTTCAATGAGTTTTGATCTAGCAGACACATGGTTTTTCGGAGGACTGAGGAATGAACCTGATGAATGAAGAATAAATTCAGTATATAATAAGCAGCTACAGACAGCACCAAGGAGAAGGTTTGGAAAAGACTTCACAGGTACCTAGGAAATTAGCCATGGAAATGAAGCACAGTCCAGTAATATAAGCATCATATCCTGCTTCATGGAGTTGTTCAGATGCTGTATCATAACTTGGAAATCCTTCTGCACTTTCTGAGGGGAAAAAGACATTTATAAACACCTTATCAGAGAAGATAAAGGTAGTACTGTATCCTTACCCACAGGCTCATTTCATCAGCACATAACATTTGGAGATGTCTATACAACTTTCAGAATCTTTGAATTTTCTTAAGTTCTTAAAAAAGCAGTTTTGGCATTTTTAAATAAGGATAGATTCATAATATGGAAAGTCTTTCCTATTAAAAAGCTCTTAATACCCAGACCTACTCAGCCAAAATGGAGTATTAATTGCAAGACAATTACAGTAGAATTCCCCACAAAGAGTATCTTTTTTTGCATTTAAGAGAACAGACACTCAGTCTAATTGAAAGCTTCACTATTAACCTGTTTGCCAACCATCTGACTGACCTATGGTCAGACTTTTCAAGATATTTAAATGAAGACTAACCTAAATGATTTAAGGATGTCTTTATTGACAAATGTACTTGGTGTTCATGCTCTGCCCATTCAGTAACATAAAGAAGTACTGCTCATCTTCATTTTGATCAAGCATTGAAACTTTGCCTTTCAACATACTCCATTCTTGAGTATTGCTCTCCCTTTTCTAAATCAACAGCTTAAGAAAAATTCCAGAACCTTGAGCTAAGCTTGCCCTTTGATTAAATATCCTTGTGCTCACCTCAAAGCAAATAACGCTTTTTCCTACTAAAAGAACTTTAGTAATTTCTAGAACACTCACTACTGGTCAATACTGTATAAGTTTTCTTGGTTTTGTTTGTCCATTCTTTTACTGTCTGGATTCTTACTAAGTTCCAGTTATACTTTTAAATATAATTGCTCTGTACGTACAGTGCCCTCATTTAAAGTCCCTTCATCAAAACACTAAGTATTAGCAGGGGAATTTATATTTCAGACCACAAGAGCAAAAATAATCAAAACATTTTGTTTCCCCTGAAAGAGAAAAATATTTCAGAAATAAGAGCATTTTGATATATCCTTACCAACTTTAGGAGGGCTGAATGGAACCTCTTTTAAACGCTTTTCCAGTTCTGCAAGCGATGTATTATTAATGATCTCCTGCAAGAAAAGCCATCATTAATTGCCAAGCACATTTTCCCTGGAAACTGAAATCAAATAGGATCAAATTAATATTTACTGCTGCCACCTTGTGTTCTCTAAGGATTTACACATAGCCCTGCTTCAAACTAATGCACCAGAGGTATGTCAAGACAAATCTCAGTTACCTTCCCTCACTTGCATCATAATGAATCATAAGCATTTATTAATGCTGCTCAGAATTATTGAGGGATTATGGCAAAGTATTATTTCTATTTGAGTCTGGTTTTATGCAGGGTACATGTGGTCAGGGAAAAGACAACACAAAGAACAGACAAAAATTCTAAATATTGATCATAATGGTTGAAAGCATTCAAGGTGAGTATTGAAATGTGCCTGCTGATTGGACATTCTTGAATAGTTTAACAAGTGTAAATACTGCTAATTTAAAGTAATACAGAAACAGTGAAAGAAGCCTGGCAATCAGAAAGTTGCTCCTACACTTCAACTTAGTTGAGTAGCATTACTGAATCTACTGATGAATTATATACATAAAATAAAAAGCCACAAAGATGTATTACAGATTAATTCCTTACTGAAATTCTTAATCAAATATATGTTGTCCATCAGTACAATGGAAACAAGCAGAATCAACAGCCAGAGAAAGCAAAACATCTCACACAATCTTTATTAAAATTGTTTGAGATCTACGAGGACCAGATTTCATTTGATTCTCAGTCAAACCTGGCTGTTTACACTCACCTAGTCTGCACACTGAAAAGTTATCAAGAACTAACAACAAACAAGCTCAAATGATGCATTAATCTGGCATCCCAAAGCAGGATTTCATAACAACAACCTAAAAACCCATGCATCTGCTGTAGAATTACAAATATCAACATAGCAGTGCCAAACACAAAGCTTGTGGAGGATTCTTACTTTTCAGAATGCCAAAGCCTCTATTCTTACCACAACAGTGTGCAACACAAACTTGACAATATCTGTGAGTGTATTTAATAGCACTTCTTTATGGAATGCTCTGGAGTCACAGAGCTATGCACAAAGATAGATGTTGCTTCCTCAGCATGTTTTTTAATTAATTCAAAGGCACATAGGAAAACAAGAGCTTATGATAAGAACACTTATCTCATACTTCTTTAGAGGAATAAGACTCATGCTGTAAGACATTTTAAGAGAAACCTGTATTTTTTTTTCTTCCTACTGACTATCCACTGAGCAAAGGCCACAAGATGATATATGATTAATGATGATAAAGCATTTTTCCAGACAAATCTAAGTCAGCATTCCCAGTACTCTAAGGCTTTGAATATACAAGCAGCTTCCAGATTCTATTTGCTCATGAACAGCACTTTTTTTATCTCCTAAGGGCATATGCTACTTAAAAAGAAGAAAATAATCTACTAATCACATTTTACCTAGCAAAAACTCTACATATTTTGAAATCCAAAGCTGCCAAGTTACCATAAAACTTCAAACACAAAAGTCACTAGTAGGAAAGTAAAAATTTGCGTTCTATAAATTCTTAAAGTTTAGATAAGGGGTAAAGAAAAACCATTCTTCAACAATAAAAGGAGCATCACAGAAAATATTATTAGACAGCTTTCTCTACAAAGAAGTATAATTTGTTTCAATACACACGTATTAATGCAATTTTGTGTCTTCAAATCATTCTATAATGTTAATTTACCTTAAAAGGTTGTGTACTTGCCATCAATTTAGTATCCAGTAACCTAGAAACAAAATAAGAGCTAAATAAGTTGAAACAGAAGAATGCCCATTTTGCCAAATCCTCAAAAATGTTTTAGTGCATTAGCTGGGAAACAGCAGATACACTCTACTGAAAATTACTGTTGGGTTTGGAACAGCCAAAACATTCCTTGGCTTTGTTCAGCATGAAAAAGGACAGCAACCAAGGAACAGCAAGAGATGCAAACGACTAGTAGCAAATAAATCTTGTTCCAAATGAAATGTAGACTCAAAACACCAAACATCATGCCAAACCCAGGAGAGTAGCAAGGGTGCATCTTTTGCCAAAAAGTGAACCAACAGCAATGCTTTTCTGAAAAAAAGCTGGTCAAAATTAATTTTAAAATAGTATTTATCTAACTTGATTCCAATTTCTTTTCCAGTAACAGCTGGGGTACAGGCCTGAGACAAAAAATATCAGTTTGCAAAAGCTATACTGAAATGGCTGAAAGTTTGAACTAAGAACTTACCGGGGAAAGACACATGATGTTACTTCCTTGAACTCACTTAGGTCCTTATTTAACATTAAATCGGAAGATAAAAAACAAGTCAGTGAACTGTTTACAGTCTGGAGAGGACAGAGAGCAGTAGCTACAATTATCCAAACAGCCTCTAAAAGTGAGCCACAGTAACTGAATTCTCACTGTAAGAGATGTATTTGTCAGCACTACCATAGACACCACCTGCAATTACACACAACTGCAGACTATGTATTTCTGATTTGTCTGTCATTAGTAATAAAAGGTTCTGTCACTGCCAACACCTTATCCTATTTTATACTCTAGGCTACTTCTGATTCCAGCCTACTTAACAGTTCTTAAGTGTTCCCAGCATCTAGTATTTCACTCCAGGTATGCAGTGACTGCCTACATGTTTAGATCTGCCTAGGGTCATAAATACAGGAACTACTGACAATTGCTTGTGTTCCAATACCATCCAAACCAGCCCCAAACTACTTCTTCCCATCTTATGATCAAGTCTTTTCCCCAAACACCCACAAGCCCCTTAAGACTGCAAGTAACAATGTCATGTGAGCCATCCTTCCAATGAGACCTTTTGCCTCCTCAATGTTCTTGGTACCCAATACACTGAATTGTCCAGTCATGAACTGTTAGACTGCCCTGGTGCAGTCAAAGTGTGCTCCCTCCAATTATTCAGACATTACACCTCTTCACCCCAGTGAACATCATCCTGCTACAAGACTGCTTATCATTTTATTAAGTGTACTATATTATTTTTTTAAAATATTTCCATTTTGTAAACTACAAATGGGAAAAAGCCAATTGTGCTGAAGATCCACACCAGTATCTTATAACACATCAGTCAGTTAAATATACCTGATACAAGCAAAAACCACAGTTCTACTATCTGTTTTGATAATTTTAAAAATGCAAAGGAGAACAATCCAACTAAACTTTCTACATAAATATTTATGACAATACGGCAGTAGCCCAGAAGTACCAAATAGATTTTTTAAAAGTACTTTTCTATACTTCTTCATTAGACTGACCAATTCTTCCATTGAGAAGAAAGTGTGGAGTTAAGACTAAAAGACATATACACTAAGGCATTTATTTCATCATCTGAACACCCAGAAGATTACTTACATCAGGTAGAGGACAATAGAACTGATGTATGGTGTGCATAACATCCAGCAGCATGTTGTGCCCAATAACAAGCTTGCCCTGTGAAAATAACATTAAATGTCTGTTACACTTCCAGTCCTGATCACGGTGAAGGGAATCTGTGAAAACCCCTATTCCAGCTGCCAGCCAAGGGCATGTGGGAAAATACACATCAAATCTCTCCATTGCTCTCTGCCTGCCCCTCCATTCTCTCAAAGCAGCCACTCCTTTTTCCTCTACTGCCACCCATTTACCACAGGCTTCCACAGCAGTTTCATATGTTGAGATGTGAACAGCTACTTACAACTTGGTTTTCAAATGTAGTCTATCTAATATTGAAGACAAGGCATTTCTCAGTCCATTACCTTTTAATTTGCTTCTACAACAACACACAATATACTCCTTATGGTTATAATATACAATAGTTATTAAGGGCATGGTCTGGCTTGGTCACCTTTCATGCCAGATGCTGTACAAGCAAGCTCCTTGAAAAAGCTCAAGCAGTTTTTTTTAAATGTTAACTTTGATTCATTTGACATGACAACAGTCCTTCTTTGATAGTTTTTAACTGCCAGGAAAAAAATAAAAAAGGAAAAAAACCCCACAATCTTTTCAGAATAGAGAAAAAAGAAGCCACCAAAGCTTATTTACAGCCTAAGACATTGCTATTGTTGACTCCTACAGATAATAAGATTCTTCATGTCATTCTTTAGTTTGAGCTTACTTAACCAACCACACTCAACCACTGTAAAACATGAAGCAACACAAACTTAAAATGACACTTTAACTTGTATTTCAACTTCTCTTCTAAAATCTAACAGCAGAAGAATCCTTTCTTTGAATTATTTACTTTTCCTTACAAACAAAGGTAGGTTAAAAATCACATTAACTTACAGAATTAGCAATGGCATGAACAACTCTGGAAAATCCTACAGCATCATTCAATTCTTCCTGTAAGCAAAGATTCTGACATTAATGAAGCAGAAATCCAAATATTGCCAAAACTGTACCTGCAAACTGCCAGATGCCCCCCGTCTGCCTGTGTTTCTCAAACATATCCAAGAACAGAACACATAGGAAATGTCAATATTTGGAAGACACAAGATGTCAAAGCAACTGAGATGCTTCTCCCAGACTTCTCTTTTTATATGTAGTCCTAGCTCACTGTCAGGTAGGACAAGTCACAAGCTGCTGCCCTGGGTTGCCCCTGGTCAGAAGCCAAACAGCCACTTTGCCCTTTGCTCACTTCCCTCACCCAAAATTCAAAGACAGACAACAAAATTTGTGCATAAGGATAATGGGAGCCCATCCCCTCAGCCTCATTGCTTTTGGGAGAGGGTGGGAGAGAAAGCCTTGACACTGTGCAAGTGCTGTTCAGCAGTAGACAAAACACACGGTGGTATCACTGGTGTTTTAGCCACAAAGCAAAGCACAATAAAATACAGGCTGCCACAAAGAAAGGTAACTTCACCCCAACCAGAGCAGTAACAGCTGCAGTCAGCTCATTGTCAGCACATGATTGCCAATAGTGCTCAGCAGCTATGACACTGCAAACAGCTCAGAAGGTATTAAAATGAACCTATATATCTTCAGCTGTACTCTTTACATATATTGTTATATATGCAACAGGTAGAATCCTGATTGTTACTCCTATTAAATCAGACCTGTACTTTTATGCTAACACAGATTGTGGAAGAAACATTCTTCATTAATTACATAAACAAAACCAAGAAGAAACACTAAAATGTATGACATATTATATAATATTGTAGTTGTATAAACTGACTCTGGATTGGTTTGGGGGGACCTGACTACAGTACAAACTGTTCTGTAACAGATTTTTCTTTTTCAGGTCTAGGGAAGTAATTTCTGCTTTATGTTACCTGTCTATTCAACTAGAACTGAAATTTAGTAAAAACATTCACTGTTAATTTAATTCAGCTCTGAACACTGCTAGTCCAAGCAAGTAATATAATACCCCTACTAAAAATTTTTCAGAAAAATCTACTGTAGAAGTAAATTGTTCCTGACTTGCCTTCTGGAAAAAGAGATATCACATTAGTTAATGTCTCTTTAGCTAGCTCTTTCCCTCCTAAAAGGCTTTCTGCATAGGAGTATCATTGGCTCCACCCAAACTGACTTTATCTTGACGTATGAAAGCACAAGAGTCTGATCAGGAATTCCCACAGTTCAAGTCTTAAGACCTCCCGAATTTTGCATCACTCAATAAGCAAAATACAAAGTCCCATAAACAGTGAGAGTGCCTGAATACACCATGTGTCACCTCCTGGTCAGCCTGTTACCACAGCAGTAGTGTACAGTGTGTTTCTGTTGAGAAATGACACATTCATTGTACAGGACACTAATTCAGACAGCTAAGACCAAGCAAGCTTTGTAAGAGAAGGGGAGACTGTCAATTCAAACCATGTAACAACTTGCTCAAGAATTTCTGCAAGAAACTGATGTTTCCTCTTACTAGTCCACACTTCTGTGAGAGTGGAGATTCACATAAGGAGGTGGTCACTACTCCAGAGTATTCATTCAGTATTCCACAAATTTTGATTTTTAAAATATTTTTAGAGTGCCTCACAACTCTTTTTGCTCTGTTGCAAAGCCTAAGTTATCTGGTAGAATTTAGAAAATCAAATTTAGCCAGACACAGCAAAACAAAGGGAAACAATACCAAACCCTATCCTGCATTTTTGCATTGCTGAGTGAAGTCAGAGATTCTCACCCTTCTCTCACATAAATACATGGAATTTAATTTATTTACCTGTTCTTTTGCTTGTTTCTGCTGCTCTCTTCTTTTTCGTTCCTCTTCATCTACCTTACTAATAACAATATATCTCTCCTTCTAAAACAAAAAATGTATAGTTTGAGGAATGACTCTGAGAAGTTCAGATTTAAGGCTGCTGCAAGTTTCTGTAAATTTACATTGTAAAGAAAACTGTTATACCTCAGCAGCAGTTACTTGGCAACACAACTGTTTCTATTGTAGGCATCACATTATCACCTACTCCCAGAAGCCTACTTCAGAAAGCTGTATTTGATTCATCCACCAAACCTCATTTTTCCTAAACCCACTTTTTACCTCTCGAAAACAGTTATCAGCATTTCTTGGTATATAGTTTGTTTCAAATACTTTTTGGAGCAGAGATCTGTGCTGGGAATTGAGGACACAGCATGTGATGCCGCTGGTTTTCTCTAAGATCACAACCTGCTTTTCACTAATATAGAACATCAGATCCACTGTATTTTAAAACACCTTTTAGTATGTGAAATACATGCCCACACTCCATATCTTAGTCAGATATAACGTTTAGAACCTAGTTCACTGAAATCCATTTAAAATGCTTTGCATTTACATAATAAAGCTCAAGTTAAATCTAAAAATCAGAAGAGACAGTGAAATTGAGAAATACAATTTCCTTTAAACAGATCAAATGTTAGAGGAAGTCATAGGCCTAGTTACCTTATCTGACTCCAGAGTTTCCACATGGATACCTTTTGGATACCTACATCAAAACAAATGAAATATTAATATTAGTAGCCATTCACTTGGCATTTACCATATTGAAACCACAACAGTAATTCAGTAATTTCATGTTTCACTATTTCTGTAAATCTTAGGTGTAAAAGAACTGTTGCAAGTTTCTTTTCAATGTTAATAATAATAATTTTAATTTTAATAATGCAAAATTTGAAGCAATTGAAGCAAAATGGACTCCTTACATTATCTAACAGTAACTAGCACTTACACGATTTCCCATACTATTGTTCTGGAACCTGTAACCTTTTATTTTGGTAATATTAAGAAAATGTTATCTAGATATTACATCATAATGTCGAAACTTTGCTTTCAAGAAATTCAAAATGAAAATGCTGGTGAGAATGGTCCCATTTACTTGCAGCCCCATGACAGCTTCTTTGGAGACTGCATCTCTTGAAGACATCACTAATTTGAGGACTTATTAACAACCTTCAACTTTCTGCTAGCAGTAAATTTTAATAGGAATTATTAACTCAAATGTCATCACCTCTGCTACAGGGTTGTATCACACCACCACAGTCACATTTAATTTCTAAAACAACATCATACACAGAACCATAGATCATCCAACTGATAGCAAAAGTAAGAGAATATTGCCTTTTCCTGCCTAACCAGTAGCAATTATTCTCATCATCTAGTAATGAACTAACCACAACTATGCAATAACTGCAGAACCAGCATATTTCCTTGTCCTCTGGCTACTCCTAAAATTAGTACTGAAGAGCACACTCCAAACACTTGTGTCCTTTGCACCCTGACTCCTCAAACAGTTTTGAGCCTCCATCTCACTTACGGGCTGCTTCATGCGATAAACCTTGCATGCATCAAAACACTGATACATCAGAGAATACTTCAACAGAGGAAATGGCCTTTGAAGAGGTCATAACACAAGGGCAATCAATAACTTCACTCTTCTGCTTTAATTATTTAATTTAGTTCCAACAGAAAATTATAACCATACCAGTACCTACTAAAGAATTACTATTTTTTCAGGTAAAGCCCACAATCTGTATAAGCACATGCACTTTCTGTTCACTAAAAAACCTAGCATGCTGAAACCTAGTATGCTGCATTTGTTACATAATTCTAGGCTGTGCTGTTCTATTCAGAGATCTTATATACAAATGATTAAAAAAAACAAAACTAAGCTCTAATATCTAAATTAATCATCACAAGTTTAATGTAATTCATCTTCAGAACATTACAAGGTTTTCTTTTAAAGGGGAAAAAAAAGAGTCTAAATCAATCACCCCAAGGTTAAGTAGATTAACTCTTACCCAGATCTCTTATCAAAAGTACTAAAAATATACAGTAAGGCAGTATTACCAGTAACTTACTTCCAGCTCAAGGTCTGATAAATTAATTTCCTTTGAAATCTAAAACCAAAAGACAATCATGTTATGAATAACCCTTTCACAGAATGTCTCCTAGTAATGATTTCCAGTTAAAGCTAAGTGTTCATTTGTAGAAAGATTTTTAAAGAGTCACTGCTAGCAGAACTATAGGCTAGGAAGAGATTTACTGAATTCTGATGTTCAGCTGCCAAACTGTAAAGGCATTTACATCATGTTTTACAGTTATCCTCATACCTTCCCATCAGAGAGTATTCTATAGCCATGATCCCTCAACATAGATACAATGATGGTTCCTTATCCTCAGCTTTACTATTTCTGAATTAAATTTTATTTTTTAAAAAATTTTTTAAACAATCATACTCTTCAAATACCTACTTTCCAAAGATAATTAGATTGTTTTGGGAAGGAGACCTACTAAAAATAGTCACACACTGCCAACTGTGAACAACCAATAGCTCAAGAGATTTGAAAAGCTTCTTTATAAAATGCAACTCCAAGGCTTATGGATCACTTCAGCAGTAACAAAAGGTAGCTCACACATACAAGACATTTCTTGGCTATACGTAAATATTTTGCCACCACATGCAAAAGTTACAGATCAAAATAAATTACCCGTATACATCACCACATTATCTCAACACCCAAATATTAGTCAAATCTAGATTTTTCTGCAGTCAACCCAAGTAAACATATTCTTCCCTGTCACTCCCCTAATTCTAGAAGACCAAATTAAAGAAAAAAATTTATAAGAGATTCAGTTTCAGAAACTGACCCTGTACATGGCTCCAGTTCCAAACTTTCACTTTCTTCATTCTTTAGTAAGTCTTCTATCTGTTCCCTGGAAGAAACAGATTATTTGCTTCTGTATCTACTATTTTATTTGTTGGAAGTTTACAGCTCTCTCCAAAAGACAAGAAAATGCTTCATAACAAAAAGAGCAGCATTTTACAAACAGTGAACTAATAGAAATGGCTTCAACATATGAAAATATCACTACAGTTCACATTTTAGTTTCAACAACATCAGAGGATATTAAACAGCGGTACTTACACTACTTTATCAACAAATTTTTTCTGATCTTCAGGAATTGTTACAGGGCACTTTGTGGAATTAGGAGAAATGTATGACAGAGATCCTGCACCATTGGCTTGAGAACGTTTTTCATCATACTGTTCCCGTAGCTGTCTTTCTTCTTCCTGATTTAAATAAGGAATTCCTAACAAAAAAAGTAAAAGCTCATTATAATTAGAAACAAATTAGGGAGGCATAGTGATTCAAGCATTTGCCCCTGCAGGCTGAAAGCACACCCTTCCCTTTCAGTGATCTGCTGTGGATGTGTGTGTCTGTCCAGCCTCCCAGCATGTGCCAGGTTAGCTGGTACCACTGCACAAGGCATGAGCCCCAGCACTGCAGAGCTGCAGATCACAACCACAAAAGTATTGAGCACTTCTCTGTTTGCTCTGTGCATCACAAATAACAGACTGCAGCAGCCCCAATGAGTGCACTGGGATTCCTTTCCTAAACATTGCTACTGGTGTATCACACAGCTCCACACCTTGTTACTCTCTCTATTTATTCACCCTTTGCCTCCATACAAAATAAAAAAACCACACTCTCATGTTAGTGGGAATTCTGTTCTGCTGAACTACACAATGAATTCTTGGAAAGGAAGCTACGATCAGCACAACAGTAGACTGGATAACAATAATTCAAGAATTTTATTACATATTAAGACAGTATCATGGATGGCAGCCTTTTTTCTTTTTGCAGAAAACAATGAAAGGTGTCATCATAAATTTTGCAGAAGTTGAAAGAAATTGAAAAAAAACCCAAAATAACTCACCGTTGCGAAAAACTTTATTAAAATCAAATCCTTGGTTTGCTAAAAAATCTATACTTGAACTCTGCAACAAGAGAAAAAGGCTTTACAATTGGCAAAAGTGGCTGTGGCATAAAAGGTAAGTTATTTTTACACTTTTTAAGAAATTATACAAAGTCCAAAGCCAAGAACAAACAAGTTTGTGACCCTAAAGAAGCCACTGATAGTTTAGGCTATGCTACTTTTCTTACTGATTTTAAACTTCCATAAAGTACAAGAACAATGACCATGGTAAGGCATAAAGATAAAAGAACAAACTATGTAAAGAGAAGAAATTAAAGAAGGCCAAATGTGGTTCAGGAAAACAATCTGAGACCAGAAAAATAATGACAATAGCCTGGGTAGCAGTGAAAGGGAGATAAGCAGATGAGAATAAAAGATTACAAAAGGGAACTGGAAGTTCAGTGAGAAAGGGGACAAAAACAGAATCACCTTCCCAAGTTTAGAATGTTATCTCAAATTCCAGAAATCATACATTGTATGACAAGCTCATTTCTGGGATTCCTCTTAACTGATGCTTACTTATTTTATAAAAAAAAAATCAATACAACCCAGAAGCATACATTTTTCTACCTTTTAAGCTGAAGTTTGTTTCAGGTATAACTTAACGTAATAAAATTAAATTGTTTTTCTACTAACCTGACAGACAAACTTGACATCTGGTGAATTTCTGTTAAAGGGTTTTGGAAAAATATAGAAGTTAAATGACTTCATTATATACCTGCAGAAAAGATGAGTTACATGTCAATACAGTATCAGTATTACTTTAGAAAATCCTCAATTAAGAAAACAAGAAATAAGAGAATAACATACCTTTCTTCTGTGTCATCATATTTAAAAGTGCAAAGACCAAACTGAAAGAGCAAAAAATCCATGGAATGCTGGAAAGGAAAGGAAAACCTTGCATGAGAATGAAACATGTACACATTTAAAGACTGACAGGGTGCATCCACATACGATTTCTCTACATTTCAAAATTAAGTAAAGTGAATCTTTTTAACTAATGTTGATAATTTTAAAACAAACACACCAGAGTTTTTCCACTAGTTTTCATTCTCATTTAATCATCTTACTATTAGCCCAAGATGACTTCAGTATGCACTTTCATTCCACAAAGAGACAAGAACTGAGGGAAGTTCTGTCTCTCTTTCCTCCTGTTGGTCACACACACAAGCTACTACACCAAAAGTAGTTCAGTTTTCATATTAGCCCATGTAAACACTTTACCTTTTTAAGTTTCTGATACCTTTCTTCTGGAGTGTCAAAGCCATTTGTTAATGCACTAACTGAAGGCCCATCACTGATCCCTGAGAAAGCAGAATATATTATGCTTTGGGTAAGCTTTTCAAAATTAATCACAGCAAAAAATGCAACAACTGGCAATTTAAGAAAAATGCTTTCACTTAAAGTACGTGTCACAATTATGTCATTTAAGAAAAATACTACTGCAATAAGCCATTCATTTTAATAGTGTTGCTCTAGTAGCAAAGCTCTTCTGCAAAAGCTCTGTCATTCTGGCTCCTATTCAACATGCCAGTAACAGGCCAAGACCTACCAATACCCTAATGTAAATGTGCTTCACAACACAATGCAGGATCAAAGCCAAACTAAAACTGGGAAGTGTTGCCCAGAGATTTATTGAATTACTTAGTCACCTTAAGCAATATGCAACAACTGTACTTCCATAAACACCACATGTAACAAAACCTAGTCTTGCTCTCATTTATGTCCCATGGGTGAACTGAACTCTGCATCCCAAGAGCAAAGCATCTCTCTGCTGCATATATCCTCTGGGTTTCACAAACACACACGTTCTTAGTGCTGTCTATCCCTGTCCAAACACTTGCAAGATCTCCCTCATACATATCTCAGTCCATTGCTTTCATGGCATACATAACATATTTTTTACCTTATGCTGCAACAACTATCAGTTGTCATGTTGAAATTACTGTGGGAGCACAAGCAGCATGAGCCTGACATGTATCTTTGACCAAAGCCTTGCTATCGCACATGTAACAAGTGGTTCAATCGCTTTGTGGTAGCCACAGCTTTAGTTTTTTCAAGATAACCAGGAGACACATCACGAGAACGATCTCGGGCACCGAGGTCAAACCACCCCCTCAGATAGTGCCAACAGTTCGCTATCACAAAACAGGTGCAACTGTACCTGAAAACTCTCCATCGATGGCCAGGAAGTCCGACTCTTCAATGGCTTCATACACTTTGTTAAGGTTATCCTTAAAATCTGCGGGTAAAGGGTTAAAACACACTTGAGACTACGAACGACATTCTCCGGCAGCCCGGCGCCCCTCGGGCGGGCAGGGGTGGCCGGGGCCTGCCCGCCGCCCCTTCAGCCTCGGGGCCGCGCCTCATGCGTGAGCGGGGGAATGGGGACCCCTTCGCCATGAAGGAGAGGCTGAGGCCGGAGCGGCCGCCAGCCCAGGGCAGGACGCCGGGATGCCGGACCAGCTTAGCGCCAGCAGCGCAGGGCTCGGGACGCAGGGCCGAGTGGTCACTCACTGCTCCTGATCACCTCCATCCCGCGCCCCCGCCCGCCGGAGCTCGGCCCGGCACCGCCCGGCACCGCCCGCCGCCGCCGCCGAGCGCTTCCGGGGCCGCCCCGCGCGCCGCACGTGAGCGCGCACAGCAGCTCGGGCCGCCGCCATTTCCTACCGGGGCGGAGCCCTCAGGGCCGCACCGCCCTGTCCGCCCGGGGGCTCGGCTTTGAGCGGTGAGTTCGGCAGCCTGCTGTGTGCTCCAAGCGGGCCTCAGGAATGGCTGCAGCAGCGCTGCCGGAGGGAAGGAAGTCTTACACCAGCCGCAGTTCTGTGGAGTGTGGTGAAGTATCATGGATGTGGGCCTTGCCCTCAAAGCCAGAAATGCGTAGCTATCACTAACAAGAAAGAAGGGATGGGACTGCCTAGGAGACACCAGGAGGATGGTGCAGAACTGCTAGCTCGATGCCTTAATGATGATAATTCCAGGGGAACTGCAGGTTTTGGCGTATTACTGAAGGAACGTCTTCCTGTTAGAATCGGCACTTGAACACCTCTCTGTAAAGGAGCAGCGCTCAGCGCCCAGCAGGATGGGCCCGCAGCAGCGCTGCGGGAGGAAGAGCTGCCCTAGGGAGAAGGTGCTGCACAGGGGCAGAGCGCAGGAGTTGTGGGCACGGGCGGCGGAAGAGTTCAGAGTTTGTGCTACAGGGCTCATAAAGCATCTTTTCCAGAATTCCAGCAGAAATTGTGGGGGGTAATTTCTGCATACAGAAAAAGATAAAGAATTATGCAGGATTTAGTGGAGAGAGTGAGAGTTCTTCAAGATTCTTCAATATTAAGCTTTGCCTTTTATAATAATAATAAGCAATTTATTCAATAGACATTCCCAGCAAATAATCTAGTATGATTAAATGGCTCCGAGTAAGATGTTAGTTAAAATGGAAGAGATGTTTTTATTTTGCAGTAAATTGGCTGAAGCCTAAAATTTTCATACTACTTACTCTTCTGTTTTTTAAGATGCATTTCTGCAGTTTCTAGTTAAAGTGCTCATGGCACTTCAAAGTGGTTGATGGCTGTTTTAGAAGACTGTTTTCCCCCAAGTAGCTGACAAATCTGGGGAACTCTTTGCTTCCCTCACCCACAAAATAAACTGCAAGTCAAACAGTAAGGGACTGTAATAAAGTGCTTCAATATGAATTGAAGTACTATGTCTTACAGATTAGACATTTTTTACTTCAGCATGTATGTATTGTTACGTAAGCAGAAGGAACACCTAGAAAGTGGGAGAGGGCAATACAAGCAGTTAGTTTGAGATTCCATAGCTTTTTATATGTAAGAAGTTTTATAAACTGGAACAGAAAGGCCATGTTTTCACATCATTCAAGTCTGCTGCACAGACTACCAAACACTTGTATGGTCTTTTACTTTACCAAACATTGAATGTGAAGCTAAGTGAAAAGACACTAAAAAGTAGTAAAAACCTGTATTTTAGAACAAGTATTCTGGATTTTCACCTTGCGTGCCACGGTAGATGCACTTCCTCAGATCTAGAAGAGGTTGAATTCTTTCATGCTAGAGTAGTTTAAAAATCTGCTTATTGGTTCTCTGGACAAAAATAGATAATGTGAGAGAATAAAAAATGAGAGACTATTTTCTTTCTTGAAATAGGCTAGAATAATTAAATGTCATTTGAACTGGACTTGTAGTTTGTATCAAACTGGAACAAAATCTTAAAAGAAAATGTCACTGTGTTGAACAGTTGAAAAAAATGCATCTCAGAGGCACTTCAAAAACTCACAGACTCAATTAGGTTGGAAAAAACCTTTGGGATCGAGTCCCACCTGTGACCAAACACACTGGATCACTCAGACCATGGCACTCAGTGCTATGTCCAGTCCTTAAATGCCTCCAGGGACTGTGATTCCACCACGTCCCTGTGCACCGCATTCCAATGTCTAATCACCCTTTCCTAATGTCCAAGCTAAAACTGCCCCGGTGCAGAGTAAAGCTATGTCCTGTCACTTGTTCCCTGAGAGAAGAGGCCCATCCTCACCTGGATACAACCTCCCGTCAAGGCAGGCAGGAGTGAATCAGTTTTTTTTGGACTAGAAAATTCAGAAAGAATTTCAGAAAGGGAACAGAGACTGAGAGAAGTAATTGTGAATGTGTGGAGAGATAAACTCTTATGTGGTACGAATAGTCTGTGCAGGATGCGTTAGCGCTGCAGTCAGACTAGCACCTTTAAGTCTCGTTAAACCTCGAATCTTTATTGTAGAATCAACCTTAAACAGTTTCTGCGAAGGAAGGCTATCTGAGTGCGTAGTGTACAGTAAGCAAAGGTACCTCAGTTCTCATGAATATGGAAGTGGGCGTATTCCCAGAAATGGGAGTATAGCAGCGCTCATGTCAGATGATTTTAAACGCTTGAAATAAAGAGGCGAGCGGCTGTGGTGAGGAAGGAGCGGCGGTGCCGCCGTGCCCGCGGGGCGGGGCGGGGCGGAAGCAGCGGTAGCCGGGGCGCCGCGGGGCCGAGCCGGCTGCAGGGTATTGGGCCGGGTTCCCCCCGCGCCGGCCCTGCCCTGCCCGGGTAGGAAGCGCCGCGGGCCCGGCCGTGCCGCGCCTGAGGAGGCAGCGCGGAGGGCAGGAAGCTGGAGCTGGGAAGAGACAGGAGAGGAGCCAGGAGTCATTCTGCTGCTGGCTCTTACTTGGCGCAGACTGAGCGGTGAAATATTTTTCCTCTATTTTCCACATAAATGCTGTTGTTTCTGTCTGAAGGGAAAACTAGAATGCTTTGAGGTGCAAGATCTTGCTTTTTTCTCTTACAAGTTCTGTTTCCGGTTTGTTTCAGAAAGCTGACAGCCTGTATTTTGCCAGGGAAATACAGGTTTGGAAGTCTGAGGATTCTAATTTCACTATTGGTTTCTGTTTCTGTACTTGGGATTTTTTTGTAATTTCTGTTCTTTACCTGCTTGCGTCCTTACCTCTTCGTGCTTGATCTGAATGGCAAGTTGGTAACTTAGTAGTAAGCGGGAGCCACATGGTGGAGAGTGTAATCATATTTTGGTTTGGTAGTGCCTGAGGGGAAAATAGTCTTCTTCTTGGTATCTTCTAATATATCATGAGTATTGAGTGAGTGATCTGCAGAAGTGTTTTTCTTAAGAAATTATATTCTCCTATCTAAGAGAATGGAGTAGGAACATCAAGCAAATAGGTTCATATGTTTTGTAAGCCTGGAACCATCTTAAACTCTTCTTATTTGTGCATTTTCTTTAATACTAACAAAGTGGCTACAAATAAAATTAGTGTGGAGTTTAGAGCTTTGATGAGAAGGTGTACAGATCAGTATCTTATCATTCTGAAGCAGGTGACTTGGTGGATCAAACTTCTTTTAACATTGCCCAGCAATGTCTAGCATTGACCTCTGTTAGTAATGTTTTATTCCATATGCTTGGAAGAGGAAGAGGGGTGAAGTAAATTAGATCAGTATGTTATACTGGTATTTTATTTTTGTATCCTCTGATGGTACTTCTTCCTTTGACTGGCTTCTTTTACTAAAACCCTGATTAAAGCTACTGTCAAAAGTAATGTGAAATAAATTATTTTGTTTGACTTTCATGTGTTTTGTAACATGGGAGAAGAAAGCATAGGGAGATTGAGCCCAGCTGTTTACATCTAGAATCTGGTTTTGATTGTTTTGTTGGCAATGAATATATTGTTGAAAAAGTAGATCATGTTTCATTTTGGGGAGGGCTGAGTTACTTAAAAAAATTTTACACCATCCAAGTGACAAAAGTGGTGCAATGATAAATCACATTTCTTACAATTCTAAACTTCTGTAATAGCTGTTTTCTTGTTGCTTTGCAGAAGTAATGCCTTATCTGGTTTGAAGATCTAAGAGAGCTTTCTATTTGTGTAAGGCATAAAGGAAAATGGAAGAAGATGGGACTTTACAAGGGGAAACAGAGAGGGCAAAAGTTGAACCATGTGCTACTCCTGGCCTGGGTCAGCAGATATCAGTCAGTGAGTTCCTGTGCCACTGCTGCTATGATATTCTGATCAATCCTACCACCCTGAACTGTGGGCACAGCTTCTGTAGACATTGCTTGGCCTTGTGGTGGGTATCATCCAAGAAGAATGAATGCCCTGAATGCAGAGAAAAATGGGAAGGATTCCCCAAAGTCAACATCCTTCTCAGGTGAGTGAACTACTTTGTGAATGTCTTTTTTACATAAATGGAACCACAGAAACCTTCTTTTTGAAAAACCTTTTGAGTTTTCTGCAGATATTCTTATATAATTGGTAATCTGAACTGTCACAAAGAAATTTAAATCCCAAAGACTTTCAGCTTATGCACTCATAATGAACTGTTCAAGCACATGGAATTAAGGGGCAGGTTGGTTGGTTTAGTTTTGAGGGAGGAGGTTTGTTTGGGGGGGAGGGCTTTCCCCGCTTTGTAAATTTTTTGGGAGATGGAGAGGCAGGATCCTCAATCTTCTAATATTGCTGGTTGTTTTCTAATAATTCTAAATTAGAGTGATCTTGGATAATTGTGTAGTAATTTCTGTAATAGAAATTATTTATTGGAAGAAATATATTCATATTGCAGAACAAAGCTAAAAACATCAGTTTGCTGTCTTGAATTACCCACAAGTTGTTTTGTTAATAACACTTTATCTGGGATTAATAATATTTAAATAAGTAGGTGGTAGGATTGATGGTAGGCTTTTATGTTGTCTTTTGCTTAACATTTTTTAATAATTGAGGCTTGCCAGTGGCACACAGAATTCTAATTTTATACAGATATTTTATATATTTTTATATTTTTCTTCATATTTATAAAAAAATAACTTGGGATTTCTGTGGAATTTTAGCTTTAGAAGCTAAGGAAAATGTTGTTTGACAGTGATTAATATAACTCTAAATTTACTAAGCTTTAATAACTATTTTTTTTCTTGTTTTCAAAGATGGTAGTCTTCAGTAAAGGCTGGAAAACAAATACAAAAATTAGCCTCTTTTCTGAATATTAAGCTTTTATTTTTCCTATTAGGGATGTTATTGAAAAGCTATTTTCTGATGCCATTGAACAAAGA